TGATCTCTATGACTTTCTTATATAAATTGTGTAACCACCGAACCCCCCCCCCCCAACCCCATGCTCCAGGCACTGTTAAACCAACCGTTCAAATTAACAACAGAAATTTGATGGGTTTTTTTTTATAATGCCAGTTTGCAAGTAGTCCTGTAATAAATACCTCAAGAGGCGGGTGGAGGTGGATGCAAGCTAATAAATGACGTCAGAGCTTATGATCATAGAAGCGCAATGAGCTATCGGTTTCACGATATCATATCCAGAAACTCAAAAGTCTNAAAATACAAAAGGCAATAAAAAAAAAAAAAAAAACAACAAAAAAAAAAAAAAAGAAGAAAAAAACCCATTGAAAGGGAACAACGGTCTTGGCACAAAGACAAAAAAGAGGCGAGGATTTCAGTTGGAGAGGGCAGATATCAAGAGACCTGCTAATATTACTGTCATCAATATTACTACATTAGACTTGTCTTGAAAATTTTGAGGCAGGTTTAAAATCACAAAAAGAAAAACAGAATTAAACCTCGGGCAAATACGCACACACACACACACACACACACAAAAGTTGGGGGGGGGGGGTAGGCAATAAATTTTCGATTAGCTTTGAAATCAATCCAGGTTTTGTTAATGTGGGGCGCCATGCTGCGCCCGTGTCACACGATTGGCCCAGACACTTCAGGGTGTCCGGGCCATCTTGTGGGGAACCTTATTGTGTCACAAATTTGCTGGCCGGGCAGTGGTATTAGGGGATTATTTGTCGCAGACGACATCCGATCGTTTGCTCGGAAATTGCGCGGCTGTGTGCCTCGCCCAGGGCGCGGATACAAATCCCCTTCCCCCTTACAATTCTCATTTCTGATGATGTTTTGGGGGGTTCTTTAAGGGTAAGGGGTGGATGTGGGGATAGGGTGGAGCTGCGGAGTCCAAAAACCATTTTAAGACTCCGTCTTCACGTGAACCTAGGGACCATCCATGACTAACGTCACGCCATATTGGCCGGTTTTGGACACCCCCACTCACCGCCTATCTTCCTGTATGGTCATAAATTCTCAATAAACATTGTCCCACATTCGATTAACCCCCCCCCCCCCCCCCCCCCCGGTGTGATGGCCCCTTATAATTTCAAATTCAAATGTATGCCTTCATGATAAGATTTATTAATTAATTTTTTTAATTCATTATTTTTTTTTTTTAAATTCAAAATTAGTAACTATTTCAACTGTTTCACTTTTTATGGTGTTAGTTTCCTAAAGGTGATGAACGATGAGTGGATGTTTGCCCTGGTTTTGAGTCTTTTGTTTTTACTTTTTTTAAATTATGTTTTTTGTAATAATCTACTTGAATATACGGGATCTCAAAAAGCTGGAAAGATGTTTAAAAAAAAATATATATATATATACAAATTCCGTTTTAATAGATTTAAATATGATTTCTTATTAAGTTTTCAAAATACATCTTATTTTTTCTTTCTTTCTTTCTTTCTTCTTTCTTTTTTTTTTAATGTTTCTTAAATTCAAAATTTTGGTTCACGATGTATATCTCTTACTACCCCTGAATAAACGATGGATTTATTACTTTAAAAAAAATAAACATGTGTTCAACGCTGTTTTTAAAACCCTATGGTATATATGTGTGTGTGTGTGCTGTATGCAGGGCTGGATTAACCATTAGGCAAACAAGGCTCCAAGGATTTGGGGGGGCACCACACGTCCTCAAGAAAAATATGTATATTGTCCTGGTAGCGTAATTGCATGGCATAAGCAAATCGCAAATGTAATATTTAATCTTGGCCCCACAACCAAAAGATGGAAGATTCTGAAAGGATGCCTTGTGAATAAAAAGCTGGTAAAGTCCCTTTCCGATACCAGATGGGAAGCATGTGCTGTTGTAACTGAAGCCGTGCATTCTAAAGTCTCATCCTCAGATTATAGAAGCGTTAGCATGTTTACAAGAAGACCAGTCACAGAAGGGGGCACCAGAAGAGAAGCAGAAAGCATTGCAAAGAAGATGCAAGAATTAGAATTTGCTTTCATGCTTGTCTCTTGGGAAGAAGTGTTACAACATTTTCACAGGGTCAGTAAAGCTCTACAAAATGAGCACATGAACTTGAAAACGTGGGCTGATTTGCATTCTTCACTAGCAGATCACTTTCGTGAATCTAGGAATGAATTTGAAAGATTTGAAGAAGCTGCAAAAGAAATAACACCAGGTGTGGATTATAAGTCAACTTTGACCCGTAATCGTAAACGAAAGACAGTGGTCTTTGATGGTGATGCCCCTGGGGTATCTCAGAATGCCAGAGACAAATTTCGTATATCTGCTTTCTACATCATTGTTGACAAACTTGAGACAGAGATGAGTAGACGAGGACAGGTATATAATGATCTAGCAGTTCAATTTTCTTCTTTGAACGATGTACCACAAACATTTCAGTGTTGTGAAGGACTAAAATCAAACATGCTTCAAATCAATGCCAACTTTTTGTAGGGTCTGTCCTTGGGACCCCGATCTGTGGTAATACCCAATTCTAAGGAGTCCCTAATCCCATTCTGAACCCGATCCCGGCGCAATCCATTTTCCCGGTTTTATCCCGTTCCCGTTGAAATCATATTTCTTTGTGGCTCCGGATCCAAGGGGAATCCAGATCCCGTTGGGTATCTGATCCCGTCGGTGTCTTGATCCCAGTGAGATCCTGATCTCAGTGGATCCCGATGCGCTACCGATCCCGTTAGGATACCGTTCACTGTGGGGGATCCCGTTCCACCTAGAGACTCTCTTTTCGATGTTATCCCTTTTCCTGGTAGGATCCTGATCCCGGTTTGAGCCCGTTACCCGATGGGATCTCGATGGTATCCTGTTCCCCGATGGAAACGCGTAACCGATGTGTCCTATTAAGATCCTGTTTCTTTATGGGATCATGCTCAGTGCGATTTTGTTTGAATAAGCTTTTAGATCTAATTATATATCCCCGTAGAGCAATATAGAATATTATAGATTAAATTTAATATCCTCCATGAAACGTGTAAAAATTGCATATATACGTAATTATTTCTCGAATACGAGATATTACAAAACTAAATTGTGCTACTAACTATAATACATTAAAATTGATATGAAGGCCCCGTTGGGGGCCCATTTAATAAATTACCATTTTGTTTATGTCTGAGTTGGGGGGGGGGGGCTATAAAAATCATTGAGATAAATGATACCTTTAAAACTTGTCCTATTGAAAGTAGTTTACAAATGCCATCGACATAGCTTTTTTATACTATCGAAGTTTCTAGAAAATTCTAGATCTGCCTTGAATGGATTGGATATTAAATCAAACGATATTTTAAAACAGACTAAGAATGGTATTGCTGCAAAGTTAGACCTAGATCCACCTTATCACATAGAACCTATGGTGTTGTCTAACCCTATTGATATTTTATACAGCGTATATTAGAAAAAATGAAATTGGGCCCCGGCCCCAGAGTTATGGATATTATGAGTTCAGTACCCTTCGGTATTTGAATAAAGATAATCAAGATTATGTGTATTAAGTTTGGTCAAGATCCATCTATTCATGTAGGAGTACTAAGCCTATTGCTATTTATATAGCTTATATAAGGAAAATGAAAAGGGGCCCCGGCCCCAGAGGGTTGGATATTATGTGTTAAATACCTTCGGTATTTGAAAATGTATAATCAAGATTATGTGTATTAAGTTTGGTCAAGATCCAACTATTCATGTAGGAGTACTATTGCTATTTATATAGCTTATATAAGAAAAAAAGGAAATGGGGCCACCGGCTTCAGAAGATGGATATAATGTGTTAAAAACCCTTCGGTATTTGAAAATGGATAATCAAATGTATGTATATTAAGTTTATTCAAGATCCATCTATTCATGTAGCAGTATGTGTTGTTAATTTTATTTATATAGCTTATATAAGGAAAAAAAACACGAAATCCTGGCCATCGGATGTTCCAAGTAGAGTTTTGAATTTAAAACTGTATACATTTTGTAAGTAGGCCCCAAACGGTATAGAGTTTCAAAATGAAACCTTCTTAACTTTTGTAAGTAAGCCGTAAGGAGTAAGCCTGCCAAATTTCAGGCTTCTATCTACAGGGGAAGTTGGTGAATTATAGTTATGAGTCAGTGAGGGCTTTGCCTTTTATTAGTACAGATAACAAAAAAATGAAATGCCCCCCCCCCCGGCCCCAGAGTTATGAATAGGCCTAGTATGATTTCTGTACCTTTTGGTATTTGAATATTGATAATTAAGAGTATGTGTAATGAGTATGGTTAAGATCCATCTATTCATGTAGGAGTATTAAGCATATTGATATTTTTAAGGCTTATATAAGAAAAAAATGAAATGGGCCCCCCGGCCCCAGATGGATGGATATTAGTTGTTAAGTACCCTTCGGTATTTGAGTATGGGTAATCAAATGTATGTATATTCAGTTTGGTCAATATCCAACTATTCATCTAGCAGTTTTTGTCTATCATTTTATTTATATAGCTCATTTAGGAAAAAGTGACATTTTGGGCCCCTGGCCCCAAACCGTATAGATTTTCAAAATGAAACCTGCTTAACTTTTGTAAGTAAGCCGTAAGGAGTAAACCTGCCAAATTTCAGGCTTCTATCTACAGGGGAAGTTGGAGAATTAGTGATGAGTGAGTGAGTGAGTGAGTGAGTGAGTGAGTGAGTGAGGGCTTTGCCTTTTATTAGTATAGATTCCAGCACTCAGTGGAGGAACGGGGCTTTCAATTAAGTGCGAATGTATTGTGTTCAGTGACGGGGCAGTAGGGGGCATCCATGTGGGTTTGTGCCTAGGGCACCAAGATGGCTTAATCCGTCCCTGGTGGTATGTGCAGTTGAAATGTTGACTGCTGGAACGAGACAGCATTGATAGAAATGGTGATTGATGGGAAAAGTCATTAAATCTCCTCTCCTTAATAGAGGTTGACAAACTCATGCACGCCAACAAACACAACGCAATCATCATCATTGTTTTATGTCTTTATTTTTGTTTAATTGTATGAGAACTTTCATATAGAGAATATAGAGAAAAAAGTAAACGAGAAATTATTTTTAAAAAAAAAATGGACTGACTGTATTCACACAAAAGAAAACGCCTTCATCAGTGAGATGAAAAACAACAGAAACATCTCAAAGGATGAAAGCTTCATTTTGTATTATTATTTTTAAAAATATAATAACCTAATTTCTTTATGGTGGAAACCACTTCTTTGTTTGCCAATCTCTCCTTCATCTAAACCTTGACGGGAACCTCGCACAGAAATAGTGTCTTAGATTCTGTGTTGTGGCACGGGTAGTCCCCCATCCTCCAGCCGTGCCCCCGGGACAGAACGAGGCAGTTCCTAGATCTATTCTGGCTTGGCTCCCCTTCGCCCCATTCAAAATACTCCGGGTTGTTGAAGCTGAACCTGGTCTTCCACTTCCCCTCCTCAGCCTCGTCCGTTCCTCCGATGAGTACGGCGTCCACTTTCGGGTTTTTCAAAGGTATTAAATTCTGAAGAACTTTGAGCTCGGTGTAGTCGCGGAGCTCCGCGAGGTAACCACCGAAAATTTCACAGGTTGCCTGAGCAACGAGCGAGTACTGAAACTCGTAATTGGACAGGTAATAATGCTTCAAGGGCTGCTCAATAGGGAAACCGAACAGAGAGTGCCGTGCGCTGTCCATCCTCCTGTCAAATTTCACTTGAGCCTTTTCCACTGTCGCCAGTTTCTCAGTGAGGTTCTGAAGGGCTGCGCTGACCCGGTTCAGGTCCCTCGTCAGTTCATCGATGCCTGCAGATGCTACCTTCGATTCGTCGGCCATCTCCAGGTTTTGTCCTGATGGGGACAGGTTTGTCTTTGTTCCGGGTGTAGTTGATGCCTCCCCTCGACTTGGGGTCGTGAACACGCCAGAATCATGTAATGTCGCTACTCTTATTGACTTTTTCAGGAAGACCGGGTACTTGGAAGTGCTCAGACCTATGAATGTGCATAAGTAGGTCCCTGTGTCTGCCTCTTGGGGGTTATTAATAGTATAATTCAGGTAAGATAGACCTTTAGGATCGGCTTTTCCGTAGATACTGAAAAGCTCCTTCGAAACCTTAAAAGGGGGAGGGGGTGCAGAAAAAAATATATACATCTTTTTATTACAAAGATAAATTATTAAATTCCCCAAATTTTTGAAAAATTTCACTTGGACATCTTGCTGAGTGGCATAAGTTTAAGTAATACCGCGAAGTGTATTAGGAAATCGAAAATTGTATCGAAATGAAATATAGGATAATATATGCAGGACTGAGGTCAAGCCACGTGAAGTAAATAAATAGTAGAATAAGATAATGTTTAAGCTTGAAAAGAAAAGACAGAATACTTAAAAATGACGTTTCGGCTAAATGCCTTCTTCAGCAGACGCGACAAAACAAGAAATTACAGATATTTAGATATCAACAAACGGAAGTCTTTGATGATCACAAAGTAGTTCTTTCTTTAGATACGAAAGCACTCTAGAGAGAGCGGAAGAAATCGAACAGCGGAAACGTTCTTTCAATTAAGTGCGAATGTATTGTGTTCAGTGACGGGTCTGTCAACACAATACACTACAAGCACCATACATGTTTTGTGTTCGAATAGGTTCTATGCAATACGTGTATCGAAGTATTCAACGCCACCCTTCCGTCGTTGTGTCGGGTTATCCGGGAAAAAAAATAGGTTATCCGAACATCCCGTGTTTTGCAATTAATGCGTTGTAATCTAATTTCTACTGTACATATAATGTTCAAATACTATTTCAGTTACTTCCCTTTAACATCATATCAGACATGAAAATAAATGTAAGTAATTATTCTCCTTATATTCACCACCGACTGGTGAATTTTGTTTACTAACTCCATGATAACAGGTTTTCTGATTCACTCAGCCTAGTAGGGAAGAGGTAATAAGCCGATGAACATACAAAGATAGTGTTATATAGAGTTTGTTTACATAATTTTTCTCGTGCGTGCCCTATGATTGACCCCGCATGAGACGCTGTGTGCACAGAGGGGTGTGGCTTAGTCGTTTGATCTGTCGTGTTTATGCCGCCAGCCACTAAAAATAATTAATCTGTTCCAAATAGTATTTTGTAGAATGATTGTGATTGTTCTAGAAACGTCATAAGTCTTTCTGGAAGGCAGGGCTTACGAGAACCTATATAAGGGATTGACAGGCACGGACGGAGGAGGAGATTCAGATAGATTTTATTAACTTTACGAGGCGTGTTTTATTCTTTGTGTATTTGTGTGCTCATATGTGTTTATTTCGCATTATTTATTGGCACATTATTCTAACTGTGTTAACTGTGTACCGGTCCAACATCTACCATACAGTAAGTTGAAGAGTGTAATTATATTTTCTTTTCTTTTGTAATTATCTTAAGACTTAATGAATCTTAATTAATTGTAACTAGAAACTGTTTTGGGTGTCGTATCTTTAATATTGTTGACTCTATGGTATCGTCCTTTGTTAGACACTGTTTACAACGAGCCAAAATAAAATTAAAATAGGAGATTAATTTCTAACAATACAAGTCAGTGCTTAACAATAGGCTTATTATGGATATGCATATTAATCTATACCCGTTATAGTTTAGATACGTACGTTAGTGCCGGTTCGGAGGTTGACTGTCTCGATTTCAAATCTGCCAACGTAAGGCTCCTTATCTCTGATACGGAACAGGCTGAGCATCATCACCCTGCTTAATGGCTCCGTGGGTTTAGGGGAAAACGTACACCTAATCTCCAGGCGGGGAGTCCGCCCCTCTTCTACGGCCCTGGGCTCCACTGTAAACTGCAGCGCCGTGTCCTCCTCAGCCGGAGCGTCGTTTCCGGGTGGCTTCTCCGTTGCTCCGCCGTGGATTCCGGGCCCGGCTGTTGCCGCGGAAGGTAGCTGGCAACTGGGTGCTTTGGTCGCGGAGGGCTGTGGCGGAGATCCTTCATCTGTTGTTGTTGTTGTAGTGGTGGTTGATGACGTCACCACAGTGGTGGATGTGACAGCTAGAAAAATTAACGTGTTAGAGGTAATTTTAGGATAAATTATAGATTTATAAATAAACAGAGGTGAATAAATGAAGGGAAGCTTTATGTATTGCCAATTTGCCAGTCAAGCAAAAATAACATCTGTGAATGGGTACTGGAAGGCCTGAGGCCGGCCCTGACTGATGTCTTAGGGAAAACCTTTTTTTAATAGACGCGATACAAACTTGACTAGTTATAACATGAGAATTGCTTTATAGAATTCGCTGCCTTATACAAACTGGAAAATCTGTTATTAGATCAATTATTTACTTAAAATTTTAAAGTAATTTTAAAGGTGGGGGGGGGCTTTCTCTTTTCCTTTTTTAGGGGGGGAGTGGTTGGGATGGGGTGGGTGGTGGGGACAGGGGTGTTTTGTTTTTTAAAGGAAAAAATACAATTATAATTATATTTAGTGTTAACAGAAGACAATTTTATTTCTTCTAATTTTTCTTTTTTTTCCCCTTCCTCACACAAAAATGTGTAAAATTTTCACCGTTGAAAGTGTAAAAGAATATTGGTTGCCCCAGTGTTATAGGCAAAAAAGGGCATTCGCAGTTTGGTCGATAGATACAACTGCATGGTAGAATTCTGCTTAATGTTGTGAGTAATTTCTATCTTGGTTAAATGTTTAAACTTATTAGTTTTTTGTTTGTTTCTTTTTTAAAAATATTTTTATTTTTATTTAATCAGTTCTTATTTTAATACAATAATTTCTATTTATTTTTTTTCAAAATCATTTTAAGATCCTCATAAGATCATTTAGGCATTTAACCAAAGCTTTGTTGCAAATGTCTCTTTAAGTTGTCCTTTTGTAATCGGGTTATCCTGTCTGGACAAACTGTCATTAGGTGATACATCCACGTAAAATGTTTGGATGAAATTATAGCAATTGTAAAATGTTACCATTGATGCCCTCAGACAAAGTCTACTGATGTCAGGGCCAGCCCTAACAATTGCGGGGCCCTATGCGAAACGGATTGCGCGGGGCCCAGTCTGTGTAGGGATAAGGATAATAAGTGAAAATTAAGATTTTGTATTAGAAAGTGGGGCCTATGAAAGTGCCGGGGCCCACTGCGGCCGCATAGGTTGCAGTAGCCTGAGGCCGGCCCAGACTGATGTGTACTTGTTTTTTAAGACCGTGACCTTACATTGACGCCACCCATCCCTCCCCAGATACTTAAAGTGTACATCTCTACTTACCACTCGCCACCGGGACACAAGACATCAGGAAGATCAAACTCATCCATTTTGAAAAATCCATTATTTTGACGCTTCAACTTTTTTTAAAAAATTGCAAGATTGTCTTGTCAGCGAATTCAGACGTCCGATTTTTTTAAATATCGAATGTAATGTTCTTCAGTCCGTTTGAGGTTGAGAAAAGATGACTGGAAATGTGTCAATTCACACGGTGTAAATTAAGTTTGCGTCCCTATCAAAGTTTAAATAGGCCAAGCACAACTTTTTTGTTTCAAAAATTTTATATAAATTAATTTTATTTTTTGAGGGGGGTTGTTTACAACGAGTTTTTCTCACCGTTTGACAAATTAAAATAGTTTACACTTCACTTGAAATAATAATTCTTACATGCTTTAAATTTAGATACGGACCTTTTTCCCCAAGAGGTTGTTGCACGTGTGTGACACCGCTGGTTTTGACTTACATTATGATTCTTCATTTGAGAGGTTACGACTCGCTCCAAGTGCTCACTTGAGCATCATAGTTAGTGAACGCTGTTATAGAACGTCACCGTCTCGTGAGGCTCGCAGTCAACGGTGTGCAAGTCTAAGCTATCAGGACCAGACACACAGGTTAACGTTGAATAATATTAAATATGGATGTATTCTTTAAGGCAGGGGTGGGCAAACTATGGCCCGCGGGCCGCATACGTCCCGGCTACTGAAATTATGCGGCTCTCGGAGGCATTTAGAAATGAAAAGAAAATAATTTGCCCTTTAAGTTACTTTGTTGAATTTTACAGATTTTCATGTAGCGTTGTGATTGTTTTAACATTTTTGATAAAGTTTCTTTCGAATTTTCCATTTTTTTTAAAAACAGTCCTTGACTTTTGTCATGTAATGTTCAATGCGAATTTACCGATCTTGAAAGAGAGAAACGTTTATCGACCTGTAAACATTGGACATAATTTGCATGCGGTTCCCCCCATAGTTTTACATTTGCTAATGTGGCCCTTCGCACAAAAAGTTTGCCCACCCCTGCTTTAAGACAAACGAATTAGGACGAGCCTCTAAAGTGTATATATCAAAAGAGTTTCGGCGAGGTTCGAAAGATGTGAAGCCTTGTTCAAGGTCCTTCAATCGAATTTTAGGTAAAATCCCCAGACAAGATGGACCTCTAAAACGGCGCAATAGCTTCGTTCCTACCGAAAGTTAAACTCAAAGACATCAGCATCGCAGCCTCAAACATCAAAATATTACACGATAAGAAATCACAACATCAAGCAGAGACCGACCCATCCCAAGAGAAAAAAAAAATCAAATCTATCGAGATCAAGCCTCACGATATAGGGGGAAAACAAACAGAATGCACACATCGAATGTACACCATAGAACATTATCACAATTCTGTACGTCATTGCATCATACAACAAACTTAAAACATCAGTTGTATAATACCAATACACATATCGCTTGAATTTGTTGGTTGTTCGCCTTTGTGGTTTCTTTCTTTTCTTTTCTCCCCCCCCCCACCCTTTTTTTTCTGTGTCATTCTTTCTTTCAAGATGGCCCGAAGTGTTCCCTTCCTGCAATGATGTGGGTCAAGATTTTAAAACAAAAAAATACATATGATAGCTGTAAACTAGTTCACGACGTGCCCACTTACGCTGTTTGGCAATCCTTTTGTAATCCCACAATGCAACTGTTCGTATCACTGACTTAAACATTTGGTAGGTTGCAGAAGGTTGTAAATAACCCAAGTTAGTTTTTTTTTATATTTATTTGTTATTTGTGTGTGTGTATGTCTGAGTTTTTAATAACTTTTTTTTTTAATGCTCAACCCAAAAAATCCACTTACGGATTGCAGAGAGTTCAAACTGCAACCCAAAAAGTCCACTTATGGATTGCAGAGAGTTCAAACTTCAACCCAAAAAATCCACTTATGGATTGCAGAGAATTCAAACTTCAACCCCAAAAAATCCACTTATGGATTGCAGAGAATTCAAACTTCAACCCAAAAAATCCACTTATGGATTGCAGAGAATTCAAACTTCAACCCAAAAAATCCACTTATGGATTGCAGAGAGTTCAAACTTCAACCCAAAAATCCACTTATGGATTGCAGAGAATTCAAACTTCAACCCAAAAAATCCACTTATGGATTGCAGGGAATTCAAACTTCAACCCAAAAAATCCACTTATGGATTGCAGAGAATTCAAACTTCAACCCAAAAAATCCACTTATGGATTGCAGAGAGTTCAAACTTCAACCCAAAAATCCACTTATGGATTGCAGAGAATTCAAACTTCAACCCAAAAAATCCACTTATGGATTGCAGGGAATTCAAACTTCAACCCAAAAAATCCACTTATGGATTGCAGAGAATTCAAACTTCAACCCAAAAA